CAAACATATGTTCACTATCGGTCTGACAGAAGAGGCCTTGTGCCGATTCTGTCAAGAAGAAGAGGAAACGGCAGAACAAGTATTGTGCTACTGCGAAGGTCTAGTAAGACTGAGATTCCTTACACTTGGAGAAGAAAAACCAAGGGCAACTAGCTATACCGGAGAACTACTTCCCAGTCTATGGAGTCTACTACAAAAGACCGCATTAGACAGGGCACTCTAAACAATGATTAAAGGATATCCACAATAGATCTGAAAAGGTCGAGGTGGGGGAGGCCACATGGCCGATAGTCCTAATTAAATCTAATCTAAATAATAATAATAAATATACATATTATGGAAGCGCAAAAACTAAACATAGTCATATTGATATCTTCGAGCATATACCAAAAATCGATCCCCAGGTGGTTTTCTATATCAATACATACTTTAAAGACGATTTTAAATTAGATACTATGTCTTGAATAAGAATGACTACACTGATATAAATATTGTCTTGAAATGGTCAAGTTTAACATGACTACGGTAAAAACGTGGTCATCACACGTATGAAATGTCAAATGATATGACAAATGTAAGACTTACTTTTTAATTATTAAATTATTGTTTGGTTGTGTTATTTGTAAAATCGAAAGAAAGGCTGAGTATAGGGTTGCCAGATTTACGAAAGGGAAAAATGGGACAATGGTAATGACAGAGGATCAGGTTAAACAAACAGGTATTTTTATAAAATAAGCTCCTTTCTTTGTGAAGATCTAAAAAAAGATCATACACTTATATTTTTATAAACCATCAGGTCCTCTAACTGAGGAGCTTCTCAAAAAAGGTTAAAAATTGTTAAAAATTTCTTTATATATAAATGCGGGACATTTTCTTACTTTGGTGTAACGCGTGTCAGCAAGTTAAAAAGCGGGACAATTACTCCTAAAAAGGGACGTCTGGCAACCCTATCTGAGTAGGGGAAGGGACGGTTATTATTATTTGCCGTGGCGCTCCGGGGCGACTTAAGGATGATTGATGGTGCCATTTGACTTACAGGCGAGGAAAACCCGTAAAACCTCACCCACCATCATCGAGACGATAATGTATGGCGATTTTATAATCTGCATGTCATATTAACAGAAATTGAATTTCTATTAATACGGCACACATCAAATCCTAAACCGAACCATGCAATTTAATTAAAAATCCACATGGTCTAGTCTGGGATTCGAAGCCCAGCAGTCTCGGACTCATAAACTCGCCTATAAATGAATATAAGCGCGATAGACCGCTACACCATCGACCCGATGATAATTACCAATTGAAATATTATTAAAAGGAAGTAATCTTAATAAACCTACCTTCTAGAAAATAGTTTTTTGTTTAAAATAAGTAAACAACTTTGGCATTTAGTTATCTTAAAAAGGTTTGTTTATAATAAATATCATATGTTTATTTTAATAAGTTAACTTCTCTGCTAATGTCACCGAACTAAAACTAGTTCCGTGGTCAAAGTGTAGCAACGTTCGTTTGTATATAATTTTGGTCTTTGACATTTGGGGGTGTCAGAATATTAGTAGTTCTATGAGTTGGATGAAGGCTTAGAGAATCGATACCACCTTCATGAAGCGACCGTACAATTTTTTAGCGACTGTACAATTTTAGCGACGTGTTTCTAATTCTAAACATGTGATTGGTCAGAATTTTTGGTCGAAGCTCTCAGAATGTTTGAAAAGTTGCCTTTCTGTTTTGATATATCAAATATGTCATTTCCGTTAAGTTTTTTTTTGTGATAGGCTATTAGTGAAAAGAGGGTCTGGGATTTCTGCCAGTGTTCGTCTTGAGTTAAGGACGTCGGCCTTCCATTTTCGGCCAGTGTTCGTCTTGAGTAAGAAGGCATTTGCCCCGTTTTGGAGGGATCATTTTCCTGTGTACGAGTAGAGCCTGTGGTTTAAGAAGGGTATTTTCATAACCGAAAAAACCTTCAATTAGGATCCTATCTGGTTTCCGTTACGACCTGTTGAAGTAGGGGTAGGCCGTATAAAAGCAGTAGAGTTGCAGTCGTAGTGATTTCTAAACCTCCACCCTTTTTTTAAAGGGTCCTAGGATACAGTTAGAGACTCCGATGAGGAGAAGAGTTCCTAGTATGTGGCTAGAAAATTCTAGGATTGAGGACATCCAAATTATGGTTAAGGACATGACCTCGCCGGTTTTTTTTTTCAATTCACATGTTCCTTGTTACTGTGGAGTCCAGTCTAGATTTCAATGTCTATCAGCCGCCATGCAGTAACTCACCCAATGATCACCGCAATTGATGTTCAGAAGTAGTCATGTTTAGTTTCGTTTCATCCTCTGGGAACTGAAGAGATGGTAATTTTTTTTTAATTTTAAGTAAATTTATGTATCTTTAAACTTGACATAACTTGCCTCAATATTAAACGCTTATGTAACTATAGAGTATATATCTTAATGATATGGTTCAAACGGTAAATGTTTTTTTGTTTGACCATGTCCACATGATTTAGTTAATTTTAAGTTTTTTATGCTCTTTAGAGGGTTTTAATAAGTCAATTGTCACATTTTATTAGTAAGTGTAATCTATTAAATTCACTGTTCTATATCTAAAAATTTAAATGCCATAAGCAATTTGATTATTATAAAAAAATCAACCCTACATTCCCTCTTCATATTAATTTTTTATTTTTATTTGGGTATAAACCTTGGACATTAAATGTAAAATATGTAAATATTAACTATTCCATATTTCTTAAATTTTTTACCTTTTGATGGTATAACTTTACAATTTTTTTTTAATAAACATACGTTTTTGAAAATTAATGTTTTTTATTTATGAGGTACTGGAATGCAATTTTTTCTAAACTCTCTTATTTAGGTTACTTCAAATTTTCCTTAGACAAACAACTTTCTTAAAAACTGGCGCCCATTATAAAAAAAAACATTTAAATAATAAATTTTATCATCTTAAATTCTTTAGTCCAAAAAGCCAGTCACCCATAGTGCCACCAGACGAAAAGCAGCCGGTGCTGAGAACTATATTTTCTCTTTCAGAAAATAAAGGGTACAATGATCAGTACTAGGGCTCGGAATTGTATTCGGATAATTCGAATATTCGAATACTCAAAATTCGATATTTTTAGATCGAAATTATTCTAATAGTCGAGTATTCGAATAGTCGAATATTCGAATAGTTGAATATTCGAATACTCAATATTCGAATACTCGATATTCGAATATTGGACTAATTGAACTAGGTATTCGATACTCAAATATTTGACTATCGGAATACTGTAAATGTTCAAATATTCGGATATATATTTTGAATTAATTTATATACCTAATTTTAATGTTTCTTTTTTATCTATTGCTTAAAAATAAAGGTAGAAGAAAAATGACTAACAAAATTCTGACTTGAGATTCGGGACTAATACGTTACGGCAACAATGTATTTATTTATTTCCTTGTAGTGCTGGCGTTTTATTTGGTAAATGAGGGGAACCCCAATTGTTTCACATTCGCACTTTTCACACGCTTGTTTATGTTTGTTAAGTTATAACTTACTAGTTATTTTATTCATATTAGAGAGTGTATGTTTGTCAGTCAACGTTTGTCCGATACAGATGTTAAATATGTGTAGTATAAATTATGTACTTACAATGTCATACACAGAAGTAATACCAGTAATTTGTGGAATCAATTAAGAACTAAGCATCATACCAAAACAAACAGGTATGAATTATACGTTAATCAAATACTCAAACATTCGAATATTCGTATACTCGAATACTCGAATAATCAAATAATCGTATACTCGAATATTCGAATAATCGTATACTCGAATATTCAAATACTCGAATATTCGAATACTCGTATAATCGAATATTCGAATACTCGAATATTCGAATACTTAGAAATATTCGAATAGTGAATAATGTGGGTATTCGAATAAAGTTTCAAACGAATATTCGAATACAAAAATATGAAAAATTCCGAGCCCTAATCAGTACACAAAACATATATTTATATTTTATCCTTACAAATTCAAAACTAAATCCTAACTACAATACATAACACACAAATAAAAATTCGCGATATCTGACAATGTCACGCGCATTGTCAAGTAGTGTCAATTATAAACCAAACATTTTTAAATCAGATTAATAGAACGTCATTATAATGACGTAAGAACCCTGACAACACTTGCCTTGGTCACATTTTCTAGTAACTGATTTAAAATTGCCTTAAGTCACTAAACAGAATATAAAAACGCTATTTAATGCTACTATCTATCTAAAAACAAAACAAAAAATAGCATAGTGCCTAGGAAAATTAATTTGAATCGCGAATACGCCGTAAAATGTGATTTGACTCGCTTCTTTCCACAAGATTTCAGCTACTATTTAAATGTATCTTGTAACGTCATTTCAGTAGCTATTGTATAATAATCGTCATTCCCACATCCCATAGCGGCATTTTATACGTTTTGATCTAGTTAACTGCCGGCTCTTTTCTTCTACTTCTGACTTCTGATCGACGAACGTGTATGCGAGTAATTAATGAACGCGCATGATTAATAGTCAGTTTCGTTTTTGTGAAAAAGAAGCGGCTGGTTTCATTAGATTTATTACTTTTTTTCATTTTTTACACTATATTAAGTTCGTATCCAATTTATACATCTAGAAACAATGAATTATGAATTACCGCGCATACATGTTCGCGGTCTATTACAAAGCCTGCGCTGGAGGTGGATATATGTGTTAATTTTTTTAATGTTGCTTTATTTTCTTTAACCTTTGATTACGGGAATAATGGGTTAGCAATTTCGAAAAAATCTATTTTGTATTATAATTATAAATCCAAATTTTGAATTTAAGATCTTGCAACATCTGTCGTAGCTGTTTTAAGCGATACAATAATCTTTTTATGACGTTTATTATTACTTGAATCGCGATCAATGTTTCAGGCATTTAGTTTTTAAATGTTTTTCGTTTTATTTTTAGTGAGGGTAAACCAAGACCGAAAAATCCAAATAAGAAGAAAATCAAATCCTTGAGTTTGACAACCTCAGAATTTTCTAGCGGTTTGGAGCCAGTTAAGAAGAAACGAAAGAAGAATAAAGATTATGATAGTGATAATTAATTTGTTGTATAAATATGTGCTTGTATCGTAATTGCGATAAAGTACCTATAAATAAATGTTATTTAAATTATAATTTTGTTTGATTTACTTATTTTTTAACCGACTTCAAAAGAGGAGGAGGTTCTCAATTCGTCGTTTTTTTTTTGTCTGATTTATCTGATTTGTATGATTTTTTTTGTTAGTAAGGGAATACCTCAGGGATAGTCCCATATAAATTTAATCAAAATCTAGTAATTGAGTCCATGAGAAAATCCTCAAACTCTTCATTTTTCATGTATGTTTGGCAATAATTCATTACCACCTTGTCTGATTTCTATGATTCTTTTTTGTTAGTAAGGGGATACTTCAGGGATGATCCCATATAAATTTGGTCAAAGTCTAATGATTGGGTCCATGAGAAAATCTTCAAACTCTTCATTTTTCAAATATGTTTGGCAATAATTATTTACCACCTGGTCCGATTTATAGGATTCTTTTTTGTTAGAAAGGGAATACTTCAGGGGTGGTCCCATATAAATTTAGTCAAAATCTAATAATTGGGTCCATGAGAAAATCCTCAAACTCTTCATTTTTCATGTATGTTTGACAATAATTCTTTACCACCTTGTTCGATATCTATTTTTCTTTTTTTGTTAGTAGAGGGGTACCAGAAGTGGTCCCATATTAATTTAATCAAAATCTACTAATTGGGTCCATGAGAAAATCCTCAAACTCTATGTTTCGCGATAATTCTTTCGAGAGAAACTGTAGACAAAACAGTCATGGAAATGTTAAAAACATTTTATAACGAAAAAATGGGGAATTTCTGAAGGCACAATTAATGTCCTATTTCTCGGCAGAACGAGTTGTCAAAGGATTATCAACTACACGGACTTATCCTACCACTTTTACGATCACGCTTCACATAATTAAAACCAATATCTTTCATCAATCTATGTAGGGTTCTTAAAGAGAACAATGGTGAATTCTTATTCCATCGAATATTCTAAATTGCATTCAAAGTTGGCGCAATTTTTTTAAAAAGCATTGTACACAATTGCTTTCAATAAACTCTTAAACCCCTCATCATATGTATATTCGCGAGAATTTGATTACCGTATCCGCTTTTTTCTTCTCGTAAGAGATTTCAATTCGCCATTATTTTGTTCCTTCTATTTCTTGATGGTATAAATTGTTTTTTCACTGACTCCACTCATTTTGGAAGCACAACTTACCGCTGCAGTCAATTTATCGTTATTGACTAACAAATCATATTAAAAATCACAATTTTCTCACACGCATTTCTATGATTATTTTTTTGTTAGTAAGGGGGTATCTCAGGGGTGGTCCCATATTAATTTAGTTAAAATCTAATAATTGGGTCCATGAGAAAATCCTCAAACTCTATGTTTAGCGATAATTCTTTCAAGATTTTCATGCGAAATGGCATACATCAACGTGAAAACATTGCTAACGTTAATGAGAAATTTCTCTCGAAATAGATCGAAAGAAACCTTCATGGAGTTCCCACTGGTTATTGCTTAATAAAGTTTTTTACAAATATAATAAAATCAGAAAGGTTTAAAATCCCTAAATTATGAAAAATTTGCTTTTTCCCTACTGATATCCGATTTTCCCCACATTTAGGAAAATTTCCCTAATAATGGCAACGCTGCTATACGTTGGTTTTGAATTTATTAAAATTGACCATTTGTCATTTATAAAATATATGTGAACATTACAAAATCATATTACAGAAAATTTCCCTATGGATTGCCGATTTCTCCCATATTTAGGGAAATTTCCCTATTGATGGCAACACTGCTCTACGTTTCGATTTTAAATTTAATGAATTTAATAAAATTGAAAATTTGTCATTCATGAAATATATTTAAATAATATAATAACCAAATCAAAAAAGTTTGCTAAATTTTAAAACATTTTCTTTTTTCTCTCTTGATTTTCGATTTTTACCACATTTAGCGAAATTTCCTATTTAATAGCACCATTTCGATTTCGAATTTAATGAATTTATTAAAATTGACCATTTGTCATATATAAAAAAATATACCTATCTAAATATTACAAAATCAAAAAAGTTTTAAATTCGCCATAACATAGAAAATTTCCCTTTTCCCTACGGATTGCCGATTTCTCACACATTTAGGGAAATTTCTCTATTAATGGCAACACTGCTCTATCTTCTGATTTTTAATTTAATGAATTTAATAAAATTGACAATTATCATTCATGAAATATATTTAAATATAATAACAAAATCAAAAAAGTTTAAAATTTTGCTAAATTATAGAAAATTTTCCTTTTTCCCTACTAATTTCCGATTTTTACCACATTTAGGGAAATTTCCCTATTAATGGCAACACTGCTCTACGATTTCGAATTTAATATATTTATTAAAATTGACCATTTGTAATTTATAAAATATACCTATCTAAATATTACCAAATCAAAAAAGTTTAAAATTCCCCATATTATAGAAAATTTACCTTTTCCCTATGGATTGCCGATTTTTCCCACATTTAGGGAAATTTCTCTATTAATGGCAACACTGCTCTACGTTTCGATTTTAAATTTAATGAATTTGTTAAAATTGACAATTATTTAAATATAACAAAATTAGACAAGTTTAAAAATTCTCTATATTATAGAAAATTTCCCTTTTTCCCTAGTGATTGCCGATTTTTCCCACAGTTAGGGAAATTTCTCTATTAATGGCAACACTGCTCTACGTTTCGATTTTAAATTTGTTAAAATTGACAATTATTTAAATATAACAAAATTAAAAAAGTTTAAAAATTCTCTATATAGAAAATTTCCCTTTTTCCCTAGTGATTGCTGATTTAGCCCACATTTTCCTACCAATGACTAATGACGTTTCGATTTTCAATTTATTAAAATTGAAAATTTGTCATTCATAAAATATATTTAAATATAACAAAATAAAAAAAATTAAAAATTCCCTAAATTATATAAAATTTCCTTTTTCCCCTATTGATTTCCAATTTTCCCCACATTTCTTGGAATTTTCCTATTAATGGCAACCCTGCTGTACTTTTCGGTTTTGAATTTACTGAATGCATTAAATGTACCATTTGATATAATATATAAAATGGTTAAAATGTAAGTATTTATGTTTTGATTTATTTTCAAGCCCAAATAAAAAATTTGGGCTATAAAAAATTCTTTATAGACTCATTTGTGTTGCTCCTCTCCACGGAAATCTTTAGTAAAAGGCGAAAGATTTTTTCGCTTTGAAGAGAAGCCAGAGTACCGAATAACTATTTCTTCTACCTATACCTTAATTACTGTTACGTAAAACTCAGTGAAATTACTGCCTAATTTACTGCCGCCCTCTAGTGACGTTCCCCAATACTAGATAATATTAAGTGATTACAGTTTACTTCTAACGGGCGAATCGCAGATTCTCAAGTTCAAGAGGGTTAGGATCAGTACCCTGAGGTAATTTTGTTTATTATTTAAAGGTATTTGCTACTGAAAGTTGTATTGCTAGTAGTATGGAAAATTCATCTCCGTTAAATAATAAACAATCTTTCAAAAATGCCGCCCAAAAAACTATTCACGAAAATTTTTTTAAAAAAATAATTTAACCACTTATTAACCATTGTATTATTTTAAAAATTGCTCATAGTTATGCTTAAACTTTGTTTTATTTAGAGCTTCTATAGAAATTTGGGAAATCTTTTTAATTTTTTCAATAACTCTCTTCGCAAAAAGACCTACTATAGTCAGATGTATATAAATAACCACATTTTATCTTATTATATATCCTTTCTTATCGAAGCATTTCAATGACAGAACATTCAAAACCATCAAAAATCTAATTACGCCATACACGTATATCTTTATACCCGAATAACCCTCATTGTCTTTCGTTGGATGGGTTGTCACATCGCGGAACAAGTAGGCATTATTAAAGTGGCTTATTCCTAGCTAATGGATAAACACATTAACTCATTTAAGGGGGTTACAAAGGCGTATTTCTACTGCCGATATAACGTTATTGGCGAAGGCCTGCCTGCTTTTCCTTGCTCGAGAAGAGCGACTCCACGACATGTTGCAGCTTTGATGTGATATCGCGGTTTGTTAGGTCGCTTCTTAGACCTCCCGCGGCTTGTATGCGTAGATTTCGGCATTAGCAGTGGCAGAGGGGTATCAACATAATTGGTTAATTGTTTTATTGGATGTATTGTAAGGAAAATATCGTTCTGTGTGTTGTAATAGTGATTTCCCTCGTAAATTCATTGCTCCATGAAATTAACGCATCAATAATGCATATATGAAAAGTAGACAATTTGGCAAAAGTAACCATTATGTATAAGATGAAGAAAAATGATAGTTCTTTTGATTTAATAATGATATGTATCTTATTGCGAGTGGCTTCGAAGTAAAAAATACTTCTTCTTCTGATACACACAATGAATAAGAGAAACATGTGATGAATTATCTTGCAAATTATGTAAAAAAAATACTATTAACTTAATATAACAGAAGATTAATATTACAAACATTATAGAATGAACTTGTTAAAAGAGTAGACAGTTGACTGATACAAAAAAGACGAAATAAATCTAACGATAACAAGGTAGAAACATTTATAGAAAAACTTCGCCTTATTTTTTTTTCACTAGGGAAAATCAACAAGAATACACTATTAAAGTCATGAAAATTGTAAGTAAATATAATAGAAATACAAGTATTATGATCCAAAAATTTAATATAATTAATACTCTCATAAGTCAAATATATTTAAAAATTATTGTGACGCGAAGCCGTCTCTGTTCTTTGTTTACTACCTTCCCGCGGCATGAAGTCTAGCGCTGACCATATAGAGACAAACGCACTGCTTCGAGAAGCTACCCGAGTGATAGCTTTGCGGCGTTGGAGTCATTGAGAGGGAGTACCCGAACGTTCTGGGTCGCCTACAGTGTTCTGGTAGAGAGCTGGCTTTATACAGGGTGTCTGTAAAAGGTATTTACAGAAACATAGCACATATTCATTAGACCAAAATAAGTCGATTTAAGTAAAATTACCTTAGTACAAAGTTGCTTC